GTGGGAGCGCCGCTGCACTCCCAAGCGGCGCACTCTCCAGTGCGCCACCGGGCTGGCCCTGTCTTTTTATTTAAATACATCTTTGGAGACACTGTATAGTTAGGTCTTGCTTTTTTATCCACTTTGACAATCTCTGCCTTGTAGTCGATGTAGACAGTTCACATTTAATGTCATTTTGCTTTAGCTTGGTTTTGTCTACCACCTTGCTTACTTGTGTCTTATCCCTTCTGTTTTTGTGTTCTTCTATTGTTCCTTTCTTGCTTTCTCTTTGGTTAATCAAGTATTTTTTAGTGTTCTATTTTATATCCTCTATTGGCTTCTTAGTAATATGTCTTCCTTGTTATTGTTTTTTTAGTGGTTGCTAGGAGCAGTCATATGCATCCTTAACTTATCAAGGGCCACTGACAATATTGTACCTGTTCACACCCAACACTTTATGCTTATCCCTTATCAATTCAAATCTGACATTTCCAACTTCCAAGGGGATCGCAACCCTCGGCACAGTGTGGTCTGCACCACGCTCAGCCAGTGAGCACACCGGCCATCCCTATATAGGATCCGAACCACGGCCTCAGCACTACAAGCGCCGCACTCTCCCAAGTAAAAATTCTCCTTTGATCCATAAGTATTTATTTATTTATTTATTTATTTATTTATTTATTTATTTGTTTATTTATTTATTTATTTATTTATTTATTTATTTATTTATTTATTTATTTATTTATTTATTTATTTATTTATTTATTTATTTATTTATTTATTTATTTATTTATTTATTTATTTATTTATTTATTTATTTATTTATTTATTGTTCGGATCCCACATACAGACCGGTTCCCGCTCACTGGCTGAGCGAGGTGTGGGCGCGGCATCAAGGGTTGCGATCCCGTTGCCAGTCCCGGTCTGGTGCGGGCACAACACTGAGGGTTGCGATCCGTTGCCGGACACGAAAAGAAAAAAAAAAAAAAGACAAACTCATGACTTTGGTATTACAAGGCTGCACTCTAACCAGCTAACCGGGCAGCCCAACCCATGAGTTATTTAGAAATGTGTCTACTAAGTGACATATTTATTGATTTTTTTTNTTTTTTTTAAAAACTATGTTTTATTCTTGTTTTTAATGGAATCACACCATGGTTAGAGAACATGTACTTGAAAATTTATCGAACCTTGTTTTGTGGCAAAGGGTCTTCAAAAAGATCATGGAAAGACTTGTATTATCTTTTAATTCTATTTTTCCATGAATCTTTTGAAGTACCCTTGTATAAGTCAATTTCACAAATTAAATGTATTTGAAAACAGTATGCATTCACTTATTGTTGCATACCGTATTATGCACATTATTAAGCTTTTGTTACTCAAATCTTTTTCTAATGTTTTTGTCTTCTTGATATACAAATTATTAAATATGGTATAGCAAATATTTCCATGTACATTAGACCATTTATCATTCTCTCCACTTCCTGCTTTATTGTAATGCTCCATTATTAGGCAGATACAAGTTTAGAATTTTTATATTTTCCTGAATTGTTCCTTTTATCATTATAGAGTAACCTCTATTGTTAATAATACTTTCTAACTTAAATATAAATAATATACATAGAACTATACTGGCATCTCTTCCCCTTAGTGTCTGTGTATCTTAGTATCTATCATTTTCTGTTTACCTTATATCTTTGTAAGATCTCTTATAAACGTTTATCACCGGGTTTTTCTAAAAAAGACATACTGTTAACTGGGAAGTTTAGATTACTTTCACTTACTATGACTACCACTATATTTGGACTGTTTCTCCTTTATTATTTTTTGCTATCTGTACTTTTTTGGGGGTATATTTTCCTTTCCTGCCTTCTATTGCAATGGTCATAATTGTGTACCTCACTTTCACCTTTCTACCTGTTCTGAAGTTACACATTCTCCTTATATTTTTCAAAAAATGTTAACAAGCAAACTTTACTTACTCTATGCTTTTTCTGAACAATAAATGGATCTTATTTGAACGGTTTAATTCATTATCCCCTTTCTTCTTTCATGTTATTATTATTTGGGATTTGGCCCCATATTATTTTAATAACCTCAATTAGCCATTATTACAATGATTACTATCTCATAAGATCTGCTTTTCAGGACATAAGGGGGTAATTTTTTCTCAAAAATCTTTCTTGTATATCACCCCTTCCTTCTAGTTTCAATTTCGCTCTTCCTTGTTATTTTATGTCACCAAAACCAACCACCCCCTGCAGGGTTATCACAGCATTAGTCACAAAGTTAATGCACTAGGGACTTTCTTACTTTCTTGACAGCTAAGCTGTCCATTTAAAGGGATGATTCATCCATTTTATCTAGCATTTCTAGGTGTTTTGGAACAGACAGTATTTTAGGTTATCTAGCTTACCACGTGTCAGAAGTGGAATTAAAAACAGAAGGAAAATTAGCAGAAGGATCACATCAATTCATACTTGAAATATCAATCAGTTACTTTTATTTTTTTGTTTGTTGTTTGTTTTTTGGAGGCTGGCCAGTGAAGGGATCCTTGACCTTGGTATTATCAGCACTATGCTCTAACTAACTTGAGCAAACCAGCCTGCTCTAATTCTTCCAATTTTTTGATTAAAATGAACAGGTTCTATGAATCTATATCAGGGATTATACAACAGCAAATTTCTATAAAGGGCCAGATAGTAAATGTTTTAGGTTTTGCAGGCCAAGTATGATGTCTACAGTATATTCATGTTTTCTTTTTTTTTTTATAACTCTTTGAAAACGAAAAAAACCATTCTAAACTGCCAGGCAGTAAAG